ACGATCAATACATTCAAGCGGCCAAACAGCAAAATTGAAGGGAGACTGTTGTCGCATGACGTGATAGAGGTGCCGATGACGATAATCAACAGCAGTATGTCGCACATGCCAGTGCTCCTTCAAACGTTGATGAGCAGTATGGATTGTCTGGCCAACATAGAGACGCCCAGAGGGTATATGCACAACAGCATAAACAACTCCAGTAACAGAAAGCGGATCATTGCCTGGCTGGAGCAGCTGCTGGTCGATACCTCTCAGTTGTAGTTCAAAGCGTTCAGTTGCAGCTATATATTGTCACATATATATATATATATATATCGTCATATATATCGTCAAATAGAACTGCCCGGTAAACCGTAGGCAGAGAGGGAGAAGAGGACAACAAACGAGGGGCTGTGACAAACTGTTTCGTCGGAGTTTCACCGACTCATCAGGAGGCTATATATATCGTCAATATATATATATATTGTCAAAGAACTATTGACTAAGAGCATAAGCACGTGAAGTAGAAGTAGAAATAAGATGAGTGAAGAAAAGAAAAATGAAAGGACAGACAGGCAAAGAGACAGACAAACTAGAATGACACAAAACAGTGTCCTCTTATTCTTTGGTTCACTGTATTCTTATTTCTTTCAGTGTTTTACAAAAAAAAATTACAATGAACAAAGGATAAAAATAAAAAACACAGACACATTGAGATCATTCAGTTTCTCAGTCTTCTTAGCGCCTCCTCCACCGTGCCTCTAACGTACAAGGCTCGCTACGTTGAGAGAGAGAGAGAGAGAGAGAGAGATCTATTCTACTACCCTGCATTGTGTTCGTCACTTCCTTCCGCCCTCTGTGGGCGATTTCCCGGCATAGACTGCTGTGCTCGCTCCGCTACTCTCTCTCTCTCTCTCTCTCTCTCTCTCTCTCTCTCTCTCTCTCTCTGTATATATATATATATATGGCGGGAAGTCGCCCACAGAGGACAAAAGGAAGTGACGAACAAAACGCAGGGTAGTAGAATACAGATCTCTCTCTCTCTCTCTCTCTCTCTCTCTCTCTCTCTCTCTCTCTCTCTCTCTCTCTCTGTGTATATATATATATATGGCGGGAAGTCGCCCACAGAGGACAAAAGGAAGTGACGAACAAAACGCAGGGTAGTAGAATACAGATCTCTCTCTCTCTCGCGCGCGCGCGTGTGTGTGTGTGTGTGTCCTTCCAATATAGAATAGATAATAACAAACGTATTTTATATTCGGATGCTCGAAACGCTTCCGTATTAGTAATGATATCACAACAAACCTGTCACACAGGGGGAAAAAAAAACAGCATGCCTCTCTCTCTCTCTCTCTCTCTCTCTCTCCCCGATTAGCTCAACCAATATAAAACACTTCATAATTTGATATCATACAGGATTTTAGGACAAGCGGTTATGCCCGTTATCGCCAACAACATCCCATAGGTAACCTCTCTCTCTCTCTCTCTCTCTCTCTCTCTCTCTCTCTCTCTCTCTCTCTCTCTCCCCCCCCCCC